CCTGGAGGGGAGTGACCTGGAAGCTCTAGATGATGGGGCTAGGATGAGAGACAGTGGGGGATTATAAATTGGGTACTGTGAGTTTTCAAGTGAGAGGGCCTCTTGAAGGATATTCTAGAATGCTGATCTGGATGTGCAAATAGGAAATAGAGGAATGCTGCAGAGAGTGGAAGGAAGGGCAAAAGTGAACAGAGACCAAAGGACAGGGGAGAGCAGGTACTTGTAGGAGCTCATACCTTGGGTGGAATTGTGGGATGGACCCAATCAACCTCACAATTCCAAAGATAAAAGATTTGGCCAATGCCTAGAACACAGCAGGTGCTGAAAAAAGTCTCTAAAATTAATTAATGTCTTTTTCTTTTAGGATTTTGTTTTTTTACTCTTTATATTCATCTTCCATAGCTTAATCTCTAAACTTGCTAGCTTGTTGTAGACAGCTTCTGGGCCTTCCCTCATAACAGATTACAAATAGATTACTGTGTGCAATTCAACTCCCTTTGCTGTCTATCTGCTTTCTTTTTCTAGAAATCCCTTCACAGAAAATTTCCAATTTATCTCTGTAAGTTAGAGAAACAAAGACATAACATTTCTGGATTCTTCTTCTATACTAATAAAATAAGAGAAACAATAATAACTGGGATTTTTTGTGCATCACTTTGTAGTTTATAACTATTATTTCAGTTGCCCATTTATTTCTCACAATCCCAGGAGGCAGTCAAGTTGGGTATTACTGTTTGTTTTTTTGTTGTTGTTGTTGCTGTTTTTGAGACAAAGTCTCAATGTGTTGCCCAGGCTAGAGTGAGTGCCATGGTGGCAGCCTAGCTCACAGCAACCTCAGACTCCTGGGCTCAAGTGATTCTTCTGCCTCAGCCTCCCAAGCAGCTGGGACTACAGGCATGTGCCACCATGCCCAGCTAATTTTTTCTATATAATTTTAGTTGGCCAATTAATTTCTTTCTATTTTTAGTAGAGACGGGGTATCGCTCTTGCTCAGGCTGGTTTCGAACTCCTAACCTTGAGCTATCTACCCGCCTCGGCCTCCCAGAGTGCTAGGGGTATTACTGTTCTTGATTTTACATATAAACAGTGTAGACAGATCCAGTGGTTCCCAAGACTGCCCAGCTTCATGTGGCCAAAACATGGGAGAGCCAGACTGGAACCCATGTACTTCAAGCCTGAATTCCAAGCTCTCGGACAGTGGTTCCTTAAACTTTACTATGAGTTTGTTCACAGTGCATGTCTAATAGTTCTGGGGTGGGATTTTGGAATCCGCATTTGAAGTAAACGTCTAACGCACATGTCTCAATGACCATCCTCAGAAAAACACGAATCCAGAAAACTCTTTTTCTCTCCTCTCTGAAAGGAAAACAAAAAACAAAAACAAAAGCGGGTGATTTTACCTCCTACCAATCAAAGGAATATTTTTTTTTCTTGGAAAAGTGGAGCCCCCAGCTCTTCTCTTCGGTGACCTACCCACACACTGATAAAGTTAATTATCTGCCCTGGCTAAATGACTTTCCTTAGCAACACCCTAGCAACTAACATCAGCTCTGCCTTAGGCTACAAAACTGGAAGGAGATGTCTTGAAGTCCAGTGTATTTTACAGCAGAACAAAACATCTGAACAGGAAATTAAACAGAAAGTAAACTGGATTCATTGCTAGGAGATGAGACGTAGACACATGAAACAGTCATGACAATCCACTGGAACACAGTAGTCAAAGTAAGAAACTTTTTTCTCCTCCTAAATTCTATTGAGGTCCACAGGAGGAGAGACTGCAAGATCTTATTCCACAGAGGAGAATTTAAACAGGCAGGAGGAGGGAGAGCTTTCTAGGCCAGGGGTGGGGAACCTGTGGCCTTGCAACCATATGTGGCCTTCTGGATCCTTGAGTGCTGACTTTTGACTAAATCCAAATTTTACAGAGCAAATCCTTTTAATCTAGGCAATGCAAAGCGGTAAGCAGAGGTCCTGGGGCAAGAGTAAAAGTGGAGGAACAGGGAACCCAGCTGGGTAGTGCCTGGGAGCTCAGACCAGGGTCTTTGACAACCCCATCCCAGACACTGACGGATAACGTCACCAGATCGTGGAGGGCCTTGGAGGCCAATTTTAAAACCGTGGACTGAGTCAGAGGGCACTGGGGGCAGGGTCATTAAAAACGTTTAATTCAGAAGACAGATATTTATGAAGCCTCTACTATGAGCCGGGCACTCTGATACGCATGGAGGATACAGCGCCGAACCCCACAGTCATCCCCCGACCTTACAGAGCTTACAGTTAAGTGACGGAGACAAATGCTGAGCAGACACAAAATTTAGAAAGTAAACATATAAATAGATAAGTAATTATAAACTTAGGAATATTAAAAGGAAAAAGTACTGAGTTCCAGGAGAGTTTTAGGGGCAGGATCTATTCTAGGAAGTCAGAAAGGACTTCTCTGAGGAAGCAGTTTTGCACCGAAAGCTGTGAAGGACGCAAAGGAGTTGGCCAACAGAGGGTGGTAGGTGGGAGAGACTAAATGGCATTGTGGGATTCCAGGCAGAGAGAAGAGCAAAGCCATGAGAGGAGAACTGCATGGCCCGAAAGGCAGACCAAGCCAAGCCTTGGAGGCCACTTTAAAGATTCTAGCTTTATTCTGACAGCCCCAAAAAGCTGCTGAGAAAGGATTTTTAGACAGGAGCAACCCAATCAGGAGGCTGAGAGAGGATGACAACTCAGACTGGGGTAGTGGCAGAGGAGACGGTGAAACTGATGACATGGTGATGGATTGGATGTGTGGAGGAGAGAGCAGAGGTGACAGCCAAGCTGGGTTAGGAAAATCTAGCTCATGCAGTGGGCTTGGAGCTTGGTGGGCTGGTTAGAGCCTGCTATCACAGCCCAGACGATGGGGCCAACACTGAGTAATGGCAAGTACCTTGTGTTGGTGTTGGAAAGGCCTGTTTTCAATCCTGGCTCTTTCCCTTAATAGCCATGGCACATTACCTAGGCGAGTAATTTCATAGATTCCCAATCTAGAAAATGGGGCTGGGGATGAGAGTGGAATGGGGCCTCCTACCTCACATGGTTTTCCTGTCAATGTCCAATAAAAAGTTAAATATTCCATCTCTGACTGCTTCATGCCTGCTCACCTCCAACACATCTTTGAATATGGTGATGTAGATGAAAAGATGTTCAAGAGCACGTATTTGGGCTTTCAGACATATAATAAGCTCCATGAAGACAGGAGTCACATTGTGTTCATCTTTGTAGTTTCTTGCTCTCTGAGATAAGATCAAGTACCCTCTCGAGAACCACTTGTTTTAGCTTGTAGCATATACCACAATTATAATATGAAAAGATTTATATAATTATGTATTTAATATCAGACTTTGCCACAGGACTGTAAGATTCACAAAGGCAAGCAACATATCTACCTGTCTTGTATCCCAGCACGAGAGGGCCTTTGACATGAATGAATGAATGAATGAATGAATGCATGAATGAATTTTTGTTCCTTCTTGTGCCCACCAGTCAGCACAGAGCCTGGCTCCAAATCTACTTAACGAAAGCTTGCTGGATAAATGGGACTCTGGAACGTGGAGTGCAGGATGAGCTCTGCGCCAGTCGAGTGAAGATGGAGATGACTCCCGTCCGATTGCAGACATGGATCTGAGCATCACCTCCAAGAGGAGGGCTGGTCCTCTGGATCAGGAGGGCCAGGGCTGAGAAAAGAGCACAATTGGCTTCTGCAAAGGGTTACTCTCAGGTGATCCCTGGGAGAAGGCACCCAGTTAATAGCAGCAGTAGCAGTCATTGCACAAGGACAGAGGAGTAAGTGGGCAGGTAGGGAGGAATGGAGACCTCCAATGCAGATGGCTCCTTGGGCCTGTCAGTAGTGATGGGAAAGAGGCCTGGAAAGTGAAGGGGATTGCTTGTTAAATGCAGGCACTGGAGGTGTGTTGAAGGCCCTGGGGAAGGAGAAGAAGGGAACCCAAAGCTTCTGAGAGCACCTGGGGAGGGATGCTTGAGGCATTGAGTGGAGGGAGGGGGCCAAGGTGTCTCAAGAGGGGTGGGAGCGAAGGGGGCCCTGGAGACCAGCCCAATGTGTTATATGGGTCAGTCATTTAACTCCAACACTCCCGGCCCCAGGAAGGGCATATTAGCACCCACTCTCACCCCCGAGCTCTCCAGAGCAGGAAGCAAGCTTGGAGAGGTGAAATAATGAGCCCAAGTCTCACAGTAAGAACTGAGGCTCCGTTCAGGTCTCTCCCTGGGAAAACCCAGTGAACCCTCGGGCTCAGCACCTCTCTGAACATCTGTCCTTGAGGACTGAGAACCCGCACTAAAATCTAAGCCAAGAAAACACAGGCTCTTCTTCGAATCTTTCAAGACTCCTTTCCAGGACTGTACGAAGATTTCTGTGGGCCTTCGGCTCTTTTGTCTTCGTGGGCTCCTTGCTCCATAAAACAATGTTAAACAACGTATTTTATGACTGTGTAGGTATAAATACGAATACATTAATAATATATAGCAAAACATTTTGTTTGAGCTAAATGTTTTTGTTCTTCTGATTTAAAGAAGGCATTTGCGGAGATCTCCAACCGCACTGTGGGCGCTCAGCACCGAGTCTCTGGGCGAGTCCTTCCCCACCGTGCTCAGCCTCCAGTCTGACCTGTTCCAACGTGGCCTTGGGAAGAGCAGTGGAGCCAGAAAGTCGTGCATCCAACCCGGCCTTAACTGGTCGCCAGACTCCGTTTGCTCAGCTATAAAATGAGTGAAAGCAACGTACTCTTTTATTGTGGGTAGGGAGGGTGGTGACGGTGAGGAGATACCGCAAGAAAACCGCCGGGCAGGTTGCTGGGCACAGTAGGTGTGCAACAAAACTTCGTTCTCGGGCTTTCCCCCCTTGGAACACCGTCCTCCACAGGGCCCAGGGAGTAGCGGGGCTCGGGGCAGCAGCCTCCTTGGTGATGGGACAGAGCCCTCAGTGCCCCTGCATCCTATGATTTCTTCTCCAGACCCTGGGAATCCAGCGTCGCAAAATAAACACGGCCGCGCCGCTAATCGCCAGTTCGGAAACAAAACAGCGCTGCGCTCGGGGATCTGGGCAAAATCAGCCCTCCCTCCCCCTGCTCCTTCGCCGCCGCCCTCCCCTCCTCGCGCTGCTCGGCTCGCTCGGCTCAGCGCAGCGCAGCGCAGCTCGGCAGCCGCCAAGCCGGGGCGGGCACGGTCTCTCCGAGTCGCCGACGCCGGCTCCGAGCTCCCTCTCTCTCCGCCGGGGCCCCGCCAGGTCTCGCCTCCGCCGGGACCACTTTGGGCAGGAGTCGCGTGGCGAGGGCCGGCGGCAGCGGCACAAAGTTGGGGGCCCGCGAGGATGAGGCTGTCCCCGGCGCCCCTGAGGCTGAGCCGGAGTCCGGCGTTGCTGGCCCTGGCGCTGCCCCTGGCCGCGGCGCTGGCCTTCTCCGACGAGACCCTGGACAAAGTGCCCAAGTCGGAGGGCTACTGCAGCCGCATCCTCCGCGCCCAGGGCACGCGGCGCGAGGGCTACACCGAGTTCAGCCTCCGCGTGGAGGGCGACCCCGACTTCTACAAGCCGGGAACAAGCTACCGCGGTAAGTGGTCCGGGCTAGCGTTGGGGGCGCGGACCCGGCTACTGGAGGGCGCCGGCCGCGCGGTGCCGGAGGAGGGCGCGCGGTCCCCGGGCGCACCGTGCCGGTGCAGCCTCGCAGGGGCTCTTCGGTCCTGGCTGTCCTCAGCCCTTTTAGCCGGGAGCTCGGCGCGGATCACAAGCCGGCGTCTGGGGCCGTCGTGGGGGCCGCGGTAGGCGAGGCAGCCTGGATGTCCGACGCGCGGCTCCCGGGCGGGGGCTGTAGCGGAGCCACGCGTCACGCCGGCCTGACCGGGAGGGAGTCCCGCTTCTCCCCCGGCGTCTGCAGGAGGGAAGCAGACCCGCCTTTCCCCAGGTCGGTCGTTCTCTAGAGTGCAGGGAACCTTGGCTTCTTTTAGTTGGGTCCCAGGCAAGGCAGTGACTCCAGCTTTCCCCGCTTCCGACCGTGAAGGGGAGGGTACCAGCTTCTCCAAAGACTGGCCCCGGGCGGGACGGTCACTGTGGCTTGCCTGGATAAGTCCCACGGACTTCGGCTTCTCCCTAACCGGGCCCGGGGCTCGCGAAGGAGCGAGAACAGCCTGAAGCTTTTGGAAAGGATCCCTAGAAAGAACCCCAAATTATTATCTCATGATCCCAGACGAGGTTGAGGACCTTGGATTTCCAGGACAGGTTCCCAGTGGGAATGGGATCCCCAAAGAGCTTTGGGTAGGCTTCCAGCGGGAAGGGGAATTGGATGAAGGCAGAAGGCGGAGTCCTGATTTCCGAGGCCTGCTCCCTGGAGGCCGGGGAACCTTGGCTCCAGCATCCCGGAGGCTCCGCGCCCTAGGGATGTCGCGCCTACGCTGCTCAGCCGAGAGCGGGGTTTCGGGAGCGCAGGCAGTAGGTGTCCAAGCAGGTGAGCGCCTGCTGGACAAGACAGGCCGCTCGCCGGCACCGACCTGAAGACCCCTGACTCCATCCCCACGGCCCACCACCTCCCTCCTCAGCCGGGTCATCTCTCCAGACATCTTTTCCCAGTGCAGCTGCAGCCGCTCTCAGAAACAGGACATCTGCTAGGGAAGGAAGCCTGTCTGGCATCACCTAGGGACCCGCAGTTGGGCGTGTCCCCTCACCCTCGCCCTTCTGGGGCCAAGCAGGGAAAAGTGGGTCACTGGGGCCCCTGGTGGGGCAAGTGGGCTCCCAGCGGCCGCGCTTCCATCCTCGCATTCCTGGTTCCCTGAAACGTAGCGGGCGGAAGCGGTGGGAGCAACACAGGAGAAAGTTTGGGGCAGTGTCAGCTGGCGCCGGGGCCACCCGGGAGACCAGAACCAGGGGGCCACCCTTCTCAGACGGGCTTCTCTCGTTTTCCTGGGGTCGTGTCCCCAGCTGTCTCCACCCGAAGCTACCCGGAGCCTTGGCGCGCTCAGCACTTGGCGAGAAATAGTATGACCCTGGCGCGCAGATGTGCAGGATCCTCTGTACTCCGCGAAGAAAGACCCTGGGCGGACGAAAGCCCTCCCAGCCGGGGAGGGAGCGCGGGGCTTGGCGCCACGGCGGGAGCGAGCCGCGCTGGCGTGCGGTGACAGCCACTGGGTAGAGCCGGGAGATGCCAGTCCTGCCCGGTGTGACCTCATTGGCCTATGCAATCCTCCCCAAAACGGAGGACCTAGGTTCACTGGGCAAACCACCCCAGCTCCACGTAGCAGAGAAAGAAGTGGCTCTGGAGTCAAACCGACTTGAGTTCAGTACCTGTGTGACCTTGTGCAAGTCATTTAATTACACCCTATTTCCCAGCTGTAAAAATAGCTGTCTAACTTCTCTTGGTGGTTGTAGGGAGTGACTGGGTTTACAGAGGTGAGTGTGCCCGAGCTACAACAGGTCCACAATGCTTGTTAGTTTGAGTTGAATGTGAGGCCTTTATTGATTTAAGAATCTGGTCAGGGTTTTGTTTTGAGGGTGTGTGTGTGTGTGTGTGTGTGTGTGTGTGTGTGTGTGTGTGTGTTTGACAGTAGGTCTTTTCAGCACTCCTCCAGACCAATCTACCAGTGAATGGTGGTTCCTGGGCCAGCATGAATCAACTGAATGAGTGAATGAATGATTTCTTCATGTTAGGAAAGTTTCCTAAGACTGTCCCTAATTTAAGCCCAGGATGATTTTTTTTCCCCCAGTGATTTAGGCTAGGCTCGGGTTAGCCAAGTGTCCTACCTGGCAGCTCTTCCCACACTAATCCTCCGTGTTTAGTTGAGCATTGGCAGCTGGTGGCCCTGGCACTGGGAGGGATGCACATCCAGTATTTATATGTCCAGAGAGGTTCTGGAACTCACAGTGCGGGAACAACAGACAGCGAACAGGGACTGGAGGGGGCTGGGCCCTGGACTTTCACCCTAAGGGCTACTTCAGCCTCAACAAGTTAGCCTTTTGGGCTTTGACCCACTCCCCTCACCCCCCACTCCCAGGTTGTAGGTTAGTCAATCATCTTTTCTCCTTTCTTGTGGCTAAAGAGACCTTGAAAGAAAGATCTTGCAGGAACCCTGCTGAGGTCTTCTAAGTAAATATTCTGCAATTAGCAAACCTGATTCCGCCACTCAAAGTTAGGAAAGAAAGGGCTCTGGCCTACTTTGTGACATTTTCTCTTGGCTTTCGCTTTCTTAGAATAATTATGTTAAAAGTAAATCTAATGCATTCTGCTTGGCATATTGACTTAGGGCTGTGGATGTTAGCATTCCCCTGGTGTTCAATTTGCTTTTGTATTTTTTCCTGAATTGGGATCCCTAACAATCCTTGGAATCAATGGCTTGTTTTCCTGCTTCGGCAGCATTCCAGTTCATCACCAAATAGCTTCTGCTCTCCACGTCCCTGGTTGGAGCACACTTTTGAGGTATTCTAGACTAGAATAAAATGGTCACCATTTAAAAAATACTGAAACTTGGGGTTTCTCCCCCACAGCCTGGGTCCAGTTGACATTATTATTCAGCCTTTTCCAAGTTGTTAGCGCTATATTGACTTCCTTTTCTCTCCCACCACATCTCTCTTCTCCCTCCCTCTTGCCCCTGGCCCCCCCTCCAGCTGCAATAATTGTGCTTTAGAAAGCCCTGAAAGGCCTGCTCTGTTTCTGACCAGGGCCTCCTTTGAAAAGGAGATTACAGTGATTAAAAATAACAAGTTGAGGATCCTCCAGGGGCTTCCCTTATAGGAGGACAATTTGCAGGACCAGCCTTTGCCAGATCACAATTTCAAGCCAAATAGAAGAAAATCCGCTGAAATGTTCAAGAATTAATTGAAAATAAAAGAGGCTCTTTTGTCTGACCAAAGGTCTGTTTATTAGGAAAATAAAGTCAGACTCTGGCTAATGAGAGTGGCTTTTCCTAGATGCTCTTTAAAGGGAAATTTCAAGGAACTTGATGGGAAAAGACTGTCCAGTTGAGATTTCAAAAGCTGGTGCAACTTCAAGCATAATTGGGGGATTTATCCTAAAGCAGGAGGTTTCAAGACCCCCAAAGCTGCTCTGCTTTCTTTTTCTGTGTCCCATTGTGGAACATGTACTGCCCCTAGGAGTAGACACCTAAGCCTGGTACAAAGAGCCCAGACTTTGATGTTGGATGGGTGGGTTTCAGTTCCTGCTGGGTCACATAGTCACTGTGTGATGTCAGGCAAGGCGCTTCTCCTCTCTGAGCCACGATTTCTCCATCTGTGAAATGAGGGTATTTGGGTTTTTTCCAGCATTGTTGTAAGAATTAGAAATAATCCATATCAAAAGAAATTATCACACAGTGGCTGCTAAAAAATATGTTATGAGATGATTATTTTGGACATAGCCAAATATTTATTAGCAAAGCACTGGATAAGACATTGTGTTCAGTTCTTCCTACTCATTTTACTTATTCCTTGCAGTACTTTGAGGCAGTTTATTATCATTATTATTTTGCAGGTGAGAAGACTAAGTCTCAGAGAGGTTTAGTTCCTTACCCATCGGTCACACAGCTAATAGTCAGTGGAGTCAGGTTACAATCTCAGGTCTAGCTGATTCCTAAATCTGTGCTCTTAACCAGTCTTCTATGCTGACTCTATAAAATTCGTTGGGAGTAGAATGAATTCACTGAGCTACCCTCAGCCTTCTGGATGGTGAGTCTTCCCTGAAAAAAACACGCTGACAACAAATCAAGATAATAACTGACATATCTCAGGACACAAAGTAATGAAGTGGTGGATCCTTATTTACATTTGCATTTTTCTTTTATGTTTTCAGTATTGAATTTCCCCATAAAGCAGAGAATTAATTTAGAAACATGAAGAACCTTGTCATTCTTTAGCCAATTCCTTTTGTTTGTGGGCAAACAGAAACAAATTGGACAGGGAGAAAAGAAAAAACAGATTTGACTGCTGTTTTATTTTTACATGTTATATGACCACAGCTATAAAATTACATGTTCGAAAAGAACATCGATAGGATCTGAGAAATTTAAGCTGAGTGAGGTCTTCTAAATAAACTATTTCTTAAATAGTGGGGTTTTTAAAAATTAAATATTGCTGATAATATTATAGTTGATTTAAGTCACCCCTCCTACCTCTCTGCTCTTCTTGCACCAGTCCCCTCTTTTTAATTTTATAATTTTATTTTTTAATCCTTACTCCTTTTCATAAGCATTTAGTTCAGATGGATGATGAAAATTAAAAGATACATGCGCATCTAATGCTTAATGTTTGTGGAGGTTGTTTATTGCTTTGAGTTTTGGGAAATGAAAGAAATTAAAACATACAAAAAAATGAAAACATACCAAATTGGAATTTTTTAAGGTTTAAAACTTGAGTATTTCCCTATACATATGTGAGTTGTTCCATTACAGCTGACTTTTTCAACTGGAACAATAGGCTGTAATTGCTGATATTTTCACTAACTTGGGCTAATATATCAAAAAGCTTGTGACTATCATACTCTCCATTTGCTTGTTATGCAGACTGTCATATATAGGTTGATAATATTTCTGTCGGGGGGAAGAAAACTCTTACCATGTTATATTAGTCACA